GGTCCCTACCGCACCATATCCTCGCTGCCCCCATTCCACTCCACTATTGACAACTCTTTACTCTGTGCCAGTCCAGCAGGTGTGAAATGATGCCACGATTCTTTTCATTTGCATCTCTCACATGACCAATGAGGGTGAACATCTTTTCATATTTTTGGCCACTTTGGCCATTTAAATTTCCTCTTTTGTGAATTGCCTGTTGATAATCCTTAACCCATTTTTTAAAAAATTGAATTGTCAGCCCATTAAATTCTGGAATATCTACCTCCCTACTTCCACATCCTAGCTAACTGCCACCTTTCCCAGGAAACTTATACTCTCTCTCCAATTCCAAGTTACCGTATCTTTCTTGTGTCATTTGTAATTTCCTGTTCTTTACTGTTTTAAAAACTTCTCACTTTGCATACCATCTTTTAGTTTCCAAAAGCACCTGCTCCTTCATTATCTGATTTGGACCTTTGACTATGCAATGCTCTGGGAGGTGGGGGAGTATAATTAACCCCCTTTGGTCAGATGAGGAAACGTGACCTGAGGAGGGACTAGCTCACCTGAGACCCCACCCTGGCTCAGAGACAGAACTAAACTCAAGCCAGGACACATGCAGTTCACTGCACAAGCCCCTCTTTATTATGTACGTGTCGCTGCTTGTGCCAACAGACTCCCCCAAGAGAATGTGGACACCACAGTCCCCAGCTCTAGTCCCACACCACTTGATGAATACAGAATTTCTTGACAAAGTACCATCATCACTTAGTGCGCACCCGCTTTGCATACATCACCTCTGACCTTCCCAACAATTCTATTTAGATGAGGAAACAGGCTTAAAAGCTGAAGTGATACTCTTAGGGTCCCACTGCCAGTAATGAGGAGAGCTGGACTGTGAGCCTCAGAGGGACACTTCCCTCCTTGATCTCTGCCCCACTCCAGCCCTAAAGGCAGAGCAGTGGGAGTGTCCCACTTGCATCACCAGTCCTGCCTCATTTGACACATGTTCTCTTGGCAGAATGTGGCTAAGTAGCACCATCCTAGGTCCCCTTTAGGACTTGAAAATTTGCTCTCAAGGACTGGGAAATGTTGTCTGATAGGTCTGCTCCCCTGCTTCCTTTCCAGGCGCTTGTAGAAGGGAGGCTAGTGCTCAGAACTGCCAGGTTCTGCCTTCGATCAGGACCCAGAATCGGGCAGTGAGGCAGAAGTGGGGAGTGGGGCCGGGGGTGGCAGGAGGTAAGAGGGGGAGGTGAGAGGACTCTGGGTCTCAGACTGGGAAGGGAAAACAGGGGGCTGGACAGACCACACCCCAAGGCCAGGAGGCAGAGCACCAAAGGTGGGCAACTCCAGGGGAGCTGGAATGGCTCTGGGAGGTGGTGTCTCCACAGGCCACACCCATGAAAGCACATACTCCCCCAGTCCCCGGTTGATGTCCACATTGTACCATGGCAGCAGGTGAGGTGGGCGCTGGGAACTGAGGGCAGGGATGTGGGTGAGAGGTTATTGCGTTTTCCACCCTTGCTCCCCCAAGAGTCTGAGTGGAGTCAGGTCTGGCTCTTCTCTCCAGGGCAGGGACCATTTGTGACTGGAGCCATGCCCATTGCCTGAACCTACTTTCCTATGACTGTATGTGGCCTTTCATTCGGTGCCATTCCTTCATATCACGCGTGGCATGTGTTTGCGACCGTATCCTGTATTTTTGTGCACTGTGTCTCTGTGCAGCTTTTCGCTGCTGTCCTCTCTCCCGTGTGCCTGTTGTGTCTATGCCGTGTAGACCGCATCCTCCTGTGTATCTGTGTCTATGGCCTGTGTGTACAGTAATTGTCTTTACTGCGTGTTTGTGTTTGCATGTGAGGCGCTGTGTATGCTCTGTGCTGTGTGTCCTGTAGCTGTCTCTACGCTATACGTGCGCTGTGTCTCTGAGCAGAACGCCCGCACTCTAAGCGCAGGTGCTGTGTGTCTGTCGCGTGGGGCTGTGTCTGCGCCGCCCTGCTGCGTCTTGTGTTTCCTCGCAGAGTGTGCGAGCCCGCTGTGGGCCCCACCCGCGCGGGGCGCTGTCCCGTGGGGGTCGGTGCCGCGGGGCTCAGCGTCCGGAGGATGCGCGCCGGGGGCGGGCGGGCCGCGGGGGCGCGCCGGGCGCGGGCTCCAATGGCGAGGCCGGTGCGGCCCCCGCTAATTACATAAGCCGGACGTCAATAATTCGCGGGAAAACGCGAAAAAGATGGCGCCCCGCGCCCGGGGGGCCCCTTCCTGAGCGCCCCGGCCCCTCCCTCCGCCGCCTCCCCCTCCTCCCCGCGGCGCCCCCGCCCCGCCCCGCCCCCGCCGAGACCCCGACCCCGGCCCCACGGGCGGACACTCGGCCGGGCAGCCGCGGGCCGAGCGCAGCCGCCTCCGCAGCCGATGCGCCTGGTGGCCAGACTCCAAGTGGGACCGGCAGGCACGCAGCCTAGCGGTAAGTTCCGCCTGCGGGCGGCCGGCCCGGCCTGGGGACTCCCCGCCACACTCTGCTCGCTGCGCACATCCCTTTCCTTTCGAAATCTCCGGAACTTTGGAGGGTCGGACGCCGCCAGGATTGAGTCCCGCGGCGCGGCGCGGGGGGGCTTGGCGATGAGGGGCGAACGGAGCACGCAAGGCAGCGGGAGCCCCACCGGGTCCCTGAACCTTGGCGGGCGTGGGTGACAGGTCGTTATTCCTTGTGCCAAATCTCTACTTTTGCTGTTGGGGTGGGGGGGAAGGATAGACGGGGCTTTGGGGATTTTGCTCACGTCCGAAGTCCGGCTGCGGCGCGGGATTGGGATGGGGAAGAATTGGCGTCGGAGCGACCGAGGAGCGGAGCGCTCCAATCTGAAAGGTTCTCGTGCAACCTTTTTCCCCGGCTGAACACCCTTTTTAAAAAGCCAACGGCCGCCCTGGGAGAGGCCCCGGCGCATGAATCATCCTTGCTTCCTGCCCCCGCCCGGCCCCGCGCTCCGGGTGCCGCGATTTGAACTGGACGCGGACGGGAACCCGCAAACAGGCACTTCTTTGCAGATGGGTTTGAATCAGCCAATCACAGCCCGCGGGGGCCCGCTCCGGGGGAACAGAGGAGGGGGTGGGGGCCACTACCCCGGGGGCCCCTCGCCCCGTCTGGGTGGAGAGGGTGCGGCGAGCCGGCCCGCTCCCAAAGGTGCAGTGAGGGAGGAAGTGTCAGTTAGTGAACCTGTCTCGGGCCTCTCGCTGTGCCGGGGGAGCCAGGTGGCAGCGACAGAGCAGAGATTCAGACCACATCTGCCCTGTGCCTATGCGCTATGGAGGGCAGACAGAGGGGGACGTGGCCAGTCACAGTCAGGAGAGCTGAGCCCCCTGCAATGCCCTGTTCACCGGCCCCCCACACGCATGCATTTAGTTTCACATACTCCCTGGCACACTGCTGTGGACGTCATCCTGCAGTCTACCGGGAGTGCACACACATGCACTCACTCACAGGGAGACGCGGTAGACTAGCTCCTGGGGAAGATAGTCATGACACCAGGTGCCCAGCGTCCTGCAGAGGGAGACAGCGAAGCCTGTGCAGGAAACATAGCTAGGCTGTGTCTGGCTGTAGTGGAGTGTGCCAAAGGGCACTGAGTCAGGTGAGCCCAAAGCGGGAGGAGAAGGGGACTTTGGAAAAGGGTTTGAACACCACTGAAGGCATTGGGAGCTCCAAAAGGTTTCTGGAAGTGAGTTGGTGGGCCTGAGGAAGAATCTGGTGAGGAGGTAAGAAGACTGGAGTGGGTGGGTGGTGTGGCTCACACCTGTAATCCTAGCACTCTGGGATGCTGAGGCAGGTGGATTCCCTGAGCTCAGGAGTTCCAAGACCAACCGGAGCAAGAGAGAGACCCTGTCTCTAAAAATAGCCAGGTATTGTGGCTGGAGCCTGTAGTACCAGCTACTTCGGAGGCTGAGGCAGGAGGATCACCTGAGCCCAAGAGTATGAGCTTGCTGAGTTAAGACACCAAGACACTCTACCTAGGGGGACAAAATGAGACACTTTCTCTCTCTATATATATTTTATATGTATATAGAACGAACGAAAGAAAGAAAATAAATGAAGAAGGCAGGAGTGGCCTGCTCAGCACTAGGCCTGCAGGTTCAATTCCCAGCCCAGGTGATTTAGCAGAGGTGAGCACCAGACCCAGGAAACAGTTATTAAGCCAGTGGCAAACAAATGCCTCTAGCAAAAGTGGAGGCCCAGCTCAGATCTGACAAAAGGATGGAAAAGAGGGCACTAATGCCAGAAGCCATCATGCTTGAGATTGGCAGGTGGTGGCAGCTCCTTGGGTGGGAAGTCTAAGATGCTCTGGGCAGTACCCTTAGTAAGAGAAAGGGATAAGCCAGCAGCACATTGACTAGAATGGTGAGTGGTGTGGGAACAACTCCACGGCTTGGGGCAAATGAGCATCTAGGTGAAAGCGTAAGTGGGTTTAAATGTCCCAGAATTGGTTTCCATTAAATCATCCCATAATTGAGAACAGAAAAGGGGAATTATAAAAGACACAGATGGCCCAGTCTATACCAGTTAACAAACCACCCAGAGTTTTCCTTTCTGGGTGAGTTTTCTCTAGACAGATCCCAGGGTAGGGGCAGGGAGTATAAAGCTGCCCGGTGCCTGTGTCCTGGGGGTAGAGGGATGTGGCCAGCCACCATCTGGAAAAGGCCCTCCACCCACAGAACATGCAGTGTTGTTTGCTTAAAGGATAAAGCTTCAGCCTCCTGAGACAAGGCGTGTGGTCAAGGCCCTCTGGGCAGGAGACTTTGTGCTGTGTGGTTGAGAAGAGAACAGTGCTGACTTAGCATCAGCTCACCAGATTATAAACCATGGTTCTGCTCTAGCCTGTCAGCCTCTTCTTTTTTAATTTTTTTCTTAGTTTCCCTATCTGTAAATAGGAATAATAATGTCTCCCTAGCAGGTCATTATGAGGATTCAGTGAAATAAACATGTCTTGTACCTAGCACAGGTTTCTTTCCTACTGTGATGAGCTTTCTGGAACAGGGAAAGCAAAAGGTGAAAATTATGATCTTTCTCTCCCAGTGTCAGTGGAAGCTGATGGAGAATCGAGCTCTGGATCCAGGGACTCGGGACTCCTATGGTGCCAACAGCCATCTCCCCAACAAGGGGGCCCTGACAAAGGCCAAGAACAACTTCAAAGACCTGATGTCCAAGCTGACAGAGGGCCAGTATGTGCTGTGCCGGTGGACAGATGGACTGTATTACCTTGGGAAGATCAAGAGGGTAAACCTTTCCCCTCTGTCCCCTGTTCCTAGGCTCCTCCTCCAGCCTGACCCTCAGACCAATGATAGAGGGAGAGGGATTGCTAGGGAATTCCCTTCTGGTCCCTCATGCCCAACAGTTGACAGCAGAAGGATCCAGAGCCTGGTTTTGCAGGATCAACATCATCCAACCAGTTCTTTAGAAAAGTTCTCTGAGAGCTGCAAAACAAAATGAAGCCAGGTTGAAGAGCATCCCGTACGACCATCTGGCCTGTTCTGTCCTCAACATTCCTACCAACTTGTCATCCCCAGTCCCTGGCTATACAACTCCAGTGATAGCCACCTTCCTTACCCCTCTAGGCTCACCCTCCTTTCTGGAGCCCAAGGAGACAGAAGAGGGAGGAAGACCATGCTCCAGTTAGGCTTTCCCCCAGCCCTTCCTCACATTGCCCCCTCTCCATTTCCCAGGTAAGCAGTTCTAAGCAGAGCTGCCTTGTGACTTTTGAAGATAATTCCAAATACTGGGTCCTGTGGAAGGACATACAGCATGGTGAGTTTTCCTCAAGTCCTGGGTACTCCCACACTCCCCAGGTCCTCTCTCCTCCACCACCTTCATTTTTTCCATGTCTTCTTTATCTCACAATCCTAGCCCTTGTCCATGGACCCCAAGCCCACCTGAAATAATGATCAGGTTACCAGTTGTATGTTTACTAAGTAAAGCACTTAGGTCATTTGTCATCCCCTTGAATGCTTATACCTTGTGGGGGAGGAGGGCAGGTGGGGACGTGGCTCAGAGAGGTGCTGGGGGTTGAGACTAGGCCTTGGGCCTGTGTTTGCTTCCTCTCTGTACTACATCTGCTGCTCAAAGCCCTGGATCATCTGGACTAGGAAAGTGGGGAAGGGGCTGGGTACTCAGAATTGTCACCTCTAGTTGCCAGCACAGGGCCCCTGATTAACAGTGGAGCTTGACCTATCTATGCAGCAAGGAGTAGGGGAATGAGGAAAGACCAAGAAAGTAGAGATGGGCCAGGCAGGATGAGGATATAGAGGCCTATCTGGAGGTAAACCAGCTTTCAGAGTGGAAAAGGAGCATGGTTGGGTACCATCTCTGTCCTCAGAAATCTGGCATCATCTTTGTCTTACAGAGGTGGCAAATCAGGGACATTCTTACCACCATTCTCCCTTCCCATGCATGTGACATGCATTAGCAGGCAGTCTCAACACTTACATGCTTTCAACATGAGAGCACCAAGTAACCACTGTCAATCAGAGTAGGCATGAGGGTAGAACCTGTTTGCCATTTATGCTCTCAGAGGAAAAGAGACACAGCCCTAGGAGGGGGAGAGGCAGGTTTTAGGGTCAGATTGATCTTGGACCAAATTCCAGCCCTAGCTGTATATCCTAGCCAGGGCAAATAATGTAACCTTGCTGAATCCAAGTCTTTTCACCTAAAAGAAGAGTGTTTGGAGGATTAAATAAGATAATCCATGTGCAATGTTTAGCTCAGTGGTACTGAGTTGTAGAGAAGCAGTTTCTCAAGAATTTGTTGCCCTAAGAGATGATTCCAAGAAGTCTGCCAGGTAGAGGCCACAGAACCAAGCCAGTCAGTAGTTCATTCAAATTGCCCCTTTCTCCAAAAAGTTGTGACCAGTGCAGAATAGTTCTTCTCCAAGCCTCTAAATTTATCATGTAAAGACTCAAAGCAATGAGGATTTCCTCTCTTGGTTACCCTCTTATTTGACACATAGGAGCCGATGGAGAAGAAAGGCTGTTCACCTTAGTAGATCTTGTGTAGAAGCCTACCATGTGCCAGGCTCCATGGGTGCCATAGTGCTTAACCAGGATCCAGCTTGTGTCCCTGCCAGATGACTGGTCCTCCCATACAGAATGATGGCCCCCTCTCCCAAGATGAGAGCAGAAATCTGGGCACTACCATAATTATCTATCACTTTATTAAGCCAATGTGAACTTACTGAGACCCACTTTGGGTACCACCTTCCTGAAGGCATATTCAGGAGTAAAAGGCAAAGTTCCTTCCTGGCCACTTACTTAACAAACATGTCTTGGGACACTTGTTATATGCCATACTATATGAAGTCCTGGGGATACAGGGTTAAAGAGATACCATTTCTGCCCTTGGAAAACTTTTAGCCTGCAGGGGAAATAAACAGAAGCACACAGCAAAGTGTGTTTAATGTACTCATACAGACTTTTCACACATTAAAAGAACATACATATCCTTTGATCACAAAATTCAAAGGAAAAAAAGATGGGGAGGGAACCTGTTAATTTTTTTTTTTTTTTGAGACGGAGCCTCAAGCTATCCCCCTGGGTAGAGTGCCATGGCATCACGCTCACAGCAACCTCCAACTCCTGGGCTCAAGCGAGTCTCCTGCTTCAGCCTCCCAAGTAGCTGGGACTACAGGCGCCCGCCACAATGCCTGGCCATTTTTTGGTTGCAGCCATCATTGTTTGGCGGGCCCGGGCTGGGGATTCGAACCCGCCACCTTAGGTGTATGGGGCTGGTGCCTTAGCCGCTTGAGCCACAGGCGCTGAGCCGGAACCTGTAAATTTAAAGGAATTTTTAAAAATATAAAGCAGTCACCATGTGTGGGCTTTACATGGGTCTTGATTTAAAAGAACAGACTTAAAATTCTTATGACATTTTTATTTAAGACATTGGAAATGAATACAGTAAGTGAAATTACTGTTGACAATATTAAGAAACTATGTTAATTTTGAGGTATAATAAGGTGCTATTGTTATGTTTTTAAAAAATCCTGATCTTTCAGAGATGTATATTGAAATGTTTAGAAAAATGATTGGGGATCTGGGACTTGATTCAAAATAATTACATGAAGGAGAAGGGGGTGGGAAGACTAGCCAGGTGTTTGTACTTACTGATGAGAACATGGGGTTGCATTTTAACATCCTACTATTGTCCCATAATATAACTATTAAAAGTTATTTCAAAACAAGTTAAATCAGGCAGGAGAGGCAGCATGATGTGGCCAAAAGAACAGAGGGTTTGATGTCACACAACCATGGGTTTGAATCCCACATTTCCTACTTACTAGCTAAGCAAGATACTAACCCTCTCAGAACTTCAATTTCCCCATCTTTAGAATGGGGGTAATGATAGAAGGCACCTCAAAGAAGTTGAGAAGATTTAGTGAGGTGGCATATAAGGCCCAGTTCTAGGCTCAATACCCAGGAGAGGCTCAGCATCTGTACTGATTGTAGAACTCCTAATTCCTGGGGTCTGGACCTGACTCTAGAGAGCCTTTCTTTCAGCTGGCGTTCCAGGAGAGGAGCCCAAGTGCAACATCTGCCTGGGGAAGACATCTGGGCCCATGAATGAGATCCTCATCTGCGGGAAGTGTGGCCTGGGTGAGTGGGGGGAGCAAAGCACTGAGATGGGCCTGACCTGTGGGTTCCTCCACACTGGCTGCTAATGGGAACTGCTTCTGCCTGTTAGGGTCTCAGGGTCTCAGCTGGCTTCCTGTTTCTCTTGGAGCTCTAGGGTGAAAAGAGGGCAGGCTCTGTAAGTGAGGGCCAGAAGGTGACCTTGGGGAAAGCTGGGGAAAGTGCAATGGCATATGCAGTTTGAGGCCCTCCTAGGTGGAGAGGTTGTGGGGAAAGATGGGGCACAGGCATTGAAGCCAGAACTTGGTGCCTCCCCCACTGATGAATTTTGTCACTTGATACCAATTTGGCTGCCTTGGTGGGCATCACCAGCCAGTCTCCCGGCACTGGTAGGCAGAGCTCCTAGGAACTTCCTGCAGCCCACCCTGTCCTGTGACCTTTGCACAGCCTGGCCTTGGGCCACTGCTTCCTGTGGGCACTTACCACTCCCTCCTCTGCTGTAGGTTACCACCAGCAGTGCCACATCCCCATAGCAGGCAGTGCTGACCGGCCCCTGCTCACACCCTGGTTCTGCCGACGCTGCATCTTCGCACTGGCTGTGCGGGTGAGCCCTCCATCCCTCCCATTCCCTGCTTCTCTTGCCTCTTCCAGTGGGGCAGCACAGAGAACCCCTGCACCGAGGCCTGACTTCTCATTTCAGAGCCTAAGCTCTATGCAGAGGGGCCACACCTGGGCTCTGGGGACAGGACTGCCCCTTTGCCACTTAATCAGCTGTATGTCCTTGCCCAGGCTGCACTGCCTCCCTGAGCCTGTAAAATTGACCTAGATTTGGTGTCAGAAGTAGGAGGAGCCCAATAAATGGTGCTTTATGTTAAAAGAAAATCCATGTAATTGCCCACACTCAATACAGATTGCTAATTGTCACCTTTATTGTGCTTAGTACTACTAATATCGTATTAATAGAGATCCTTCCGGGATATAGGGGAAGGTTTGGAATTGATGAAAAAACCTCCTTGCGTTTCTGACTACACTGGAATATCTGCGGGTACCCCCAAATTTCCCTCGGTAATCAAATGCTGATACATGTGGCCCAGCTGGGACCCTGCCGTTGACTCGGACCCTCGTCTCCCCCCCAGAAAGGCGGCGCGCTGAAGAAGGGCGCCATCGCCAGGACGCTGCAGGCGGTGAAGATGGTGCTGTCCTACCAGCCAGAGGATCTCGAGTGGGACTCGCCCCACCGCACCAATCAGCAGCAATGCTACTGCTACTGCGGCGGCCCCGGAGAGTAAGGCCGTGGGGCCAGGGCGCCCAGGAAGGTGGGGCAGGTCCGGGAGAATCAGACAGCACCGCTCTGCTGACAACCTGGGACCGGGACTCCGGCACATGCCTGGAGTCTGGAGTGCAGGCCGGGGGGCGGGGCTCCTAGGGGCTGGCTGGAGGGTCTGCTGCTGGAGCCTCGAGGGGTGGGCCCGGAGAATCCAGGGTGGGGAGTCAGGGGAATGGCGGGGTGGGCCTGGCGGACCCGAACAGAGCCCTAGGGGAGGTGGAGAAGGTTGGGGAGACCCGGTGGGAGGGCAGTCCCGGAGAGTCGGGCCCAGGGAAAATGATCCGAGGAGGCGGGGTTTCCAGGGGCGGTCCCAGAAGATGAGGCTTCGAGGTGGGGCCTGAGGGGGCGTGAGTAGAGCCGTAGACTAAGGCCCTAGGGCCCGGCTCCTGGTAGCGACCGTCACTCTAGAGCAGTGAGGGTAGAGCGCAGAGGTGATTCCTCCGAACACCGTAGGAAAGGAAGAATTATTGAGTGGTTAAGAGCGGACGCCTCGACACTTGGTCCCAATCCTCCTAGGACGTCCACCCATCCTAGCTCTGCCCCTTACCAGCTGTGCAACCCGTGAACCTCAGTTCTCTTGTTTCCGTTCTGGTTGTGAGCAGGGCATGAATTGTACCCTGTAACATAAAGGTCACGCAATGCCTGGCACTTGGTAAGCACTTCAAAAAGGTGGTGGTAGTAGGGTTCATGCATGTAAGTTAAGATAACCTTTTTATTGTCAAAGCCAATGAAATAGGCTATTGGTGAAATATTAAAATCCTTTTCCCTGGAGATGTGCAAACGAGAGCTAGGAGTCTTGTGTTTGCGGATGCTATGAAGGAGATTCTTGTCGTAGCTATGGGGCAAGACTTGATTCTTCCTTGCTGACCCAGGCCTCCATGTAGCCGTGGACAGCTGAGCCTGGGCCAACTGCAGGTATTGTGGAAGGAACCAAAGACAAAGAGGTAGAATCTCTGCCTTCAGGAAATGCAGCCTTAAGGACTCACTGACATCCTGAATTTCAGCCCCAAGCTCTGTTGATAACTAAGCATCTGGAGGTAGTACTTACAGCCCAGCTGAGTAACTTGGGAAATCACCTGAACTACTTCATCTCTGATTACTTCAGCCCCATCAACTTCCTGCAGTGTTGGGAGGCCTAAGAGAAAACAAACGGAGAACATTTCAGGAACCTTTGCAGCAGACAGGCAGTGCTTCTCAACACTTAGCTGCATAGGGTGATTGTTAAAAATGTTCCTGGAGGCTTGGCGCCTGTAGCTCAGTGGGTAGGGCACTGGCCACATACACTGAGGCTAGCAGGTTCGAGCCTGGCTCAGGCCTGCTAAACAATAATGACAACTGCAACAACAATAATAAAAAAATAGCCAGGCATTGTGGTGGGTGCCTGTGGTCCCAGCTACTTGGGAGGCTGAGGCAAGAGAATCGTTTAAGCCCAAGAGTTTAAGGTTGCT